CAAAGACAAAACAGGGCTCATCTCCCGTCCTCTGCCCTTGCGCATGCACACACCCCCCCACACGCCCGCCCACCTTCAAACAGATCGACAGTCTGGAAGATGTCCGTCTTCACTACGCCATAGTCCTCGGCAGCCTTCAGAAACTGGGCAATCTGCTCCATCTGCTTGAAGACCATGGTGGGAGGCGGGTCTGGGATCTTCACCGGCTTGGAGCCACTGGGGTAAAGGCTGTTGACCAGCTTGCTCAGGACCTGCCAGGAAGGGGGCGGCCGGCCGGGTGGGTCAGGCAGGGGCAGCCCCAAGTGGCCTTCCCAAAGGAAACCCCCTCCCCTGGACAGAGAGCCTGCCCCCCCCACCAGCCAGAGGGAGCAGGTCTGATTCATGCCCACTCCCACCCTCCGATGGACGGACTGGCCGGCCTCAAGGAAGCGTCTGCCTTTGCCATCAAGGCCGAAGCCCCAGGGACCTCCTCACTCTCCCAAGCAGCTGAGGGGTGGGGGCTGATCCTGCTTGGGGCCCATCCCTCCCCCACCAGATATCGGGGGGGGGCGGCAGCGGCTCTAGGACAATGCAATCAGGTAACAATGCAATCTACACAGGCCAGGAGCATGGAAAGTGACTTCTAAAAATTCATTTGTTCATGTTACACAGGTTAATTCATTGTTGCAATGTTTGAAAAAGTAACTCGTTGCGTTTGCTTTTTTGTTGCTTAGGAACAAATTTCCTTTGGATTGTTGAGACTATGGTACAAATCTTGGAATATTGCCTTCAAAATTGCTTGCCCAAATACCTACCTTTTCCTTTGAAAACTTTAAAAAGAACTAGGAAAAACAACAACCCCTCGTTCTCCTAATAAAGTGACTTTGTTGTTGTGACCTCATTTCACAAACAGCCACTCACTAAGCAGGTCACTAAGGTTACTTTCAGGCTGTGCACCTGCCCAGCGACACTTCCTTCCTTCCTTCGCTTGCCAGCACAGATTGTTTGATTGATTGATTGATTGGTTCTTGGAATCTATTGGCATCCCACTCCCCTTCGTCTCACAGCACTACTCTGGGCGGGTCAAAACTCATAAAACGGAAAAAAAATAAATAAAAATGGAGACATTGCAACCAGCCGCAGTCACCACGGCCCCCTTCCGTTGGGCCCAGGGGAAGGCAAGGGGGGGGCGGAGACCCCTGGATGCTTACGATGCCGTTCTTCAGCCAGACCTGGAAGCCCAGCCGGCCCCGTTCGGGGCGGCCCACCTCGGGGCCACACTGGGCCACCACCCACTCCACCAGGCGCTCTTCCAGCTCATCGTCATACTTCTTCTCGATCTTGGCCTGGACGTCCCGGCTCAGGCCGAAGGAGGGCCCTTTGTTGGCCATGGTGGCTGGAGAAGGAAGACCTGGGGAGGCAGAGAAGGGATTGCCTGAGCACCGCCCTGGACCCGGGAAAGCGCTGGCCCTTCGGGGGGGCTGGAGAGACAAGGGTGGAGCTTGCCCCCCCTCCCCTTTGGAGGCAGAGCTGCCCATAGAGAGCCACTGGGGCTGTGAGCATGCAGACACGACTGGGAGAGAATTTGGGGGGGGGGAGGCTGCCCCTGTGCTCTCCCCCTTCCCTACATCCCTGTATGGTCTCGAAAAGACCTGCCACACCACACTCCCCACATGGCTGGGGGAGGGGGGAGAGGAGACGGGAGNNNAGCAGTTCTTTTCCCAAACACTTGGTGAAGCTCAAGAGAGAGGGGGTCTCCCAAGCGGGGCCTCTCCCATGCCCCACCCGAATCAGGTTCACAGCTGCCTGCTGGCCCCCCGGGCATGGCTATCAGGCTGCTCCTACCGCTGGCTTCTCCCCTTAAGAGTGTCCAGGGAGCCTCAGCGCAGGTCAGATCCCAGGTCTTCCCCCAGCGGTCTGCACCCACCCCGAGGCCATGCAGTGGCCATGGCGAAGTCTGAGGCCGTCCCTCTTGCTCTCTCGTTCCCCAGCGACTGAGAAACCTGCCTCATGCACTAGAGCCCGGCTGGCTGGTAGCCCTGGCTGGCCCTAAGCTCTAGGAATTGGTCCAATCCCTTTGTGAAAGCCATCCAAGTTAGCAGCCAGCCCCAGAACTGGTGGCAGTCAGTTCCGCAGCTGAATGGAGCACTTCGAGAGTAAAGGAGAGGCACCCCCAAGTCAAACTTCGGCTGGGCTTTGCTGAGGAGCCGCCCTCAGCCCCTTAACCCCTTTTCCCCCTCCAATGCAGCCCTCCCCCACTTGAAAGGCCCTTGCTGGCCATCTCTTCCTCCCCTCCCTCCTCAACTGTTATGACTGCTGTGCCCCACTGTTTCCGGTATGAGCTTCAGAGAGCCCCATCCCTCGCCTGGTCCTTCAAGCACAGTCCTATATTGGAACTTAACTCTGGCAAGCAAGGTTTGGCTTCAAGCGCAATGCTGATTTTAGGGGCCAAAACAGGGTTGGGTGGCTGGTTTGGCTAGTGACGTTTTTAAAAGAAAGAACTTTCTGGGGGAAAGCCACCTTCAGGACAGCAGCAAACCCCCCCCCCCCAAATAAAACCAAACAAAACCACCCGTTAAGAGTCTCGAGGCACCTCCGAGACTAAGACCCTCACTTTGCCATCAGCCTACCTCTACCTCCCCACCACCGCCCTGCCCTCCTTCCAGGGGATCAGCCCACCCCATCCCAGGAGGGCCCCCCACTCATGAAGCGCCTGCCACGGCTGCTCTGATGCCCTGCCAGCTCCACCGAGGCCCTCTTTCTCCTTTGGGGGTGCAGTGACCGTCGGAAGAGCCCTGAGTCGCTGGGTCGGGTCCAGTAGGTTGTTCTGGACCAGGGGCCTTGGGAGAGACCCCCCCTCGC